GAATACAAAGTGCCATTTTTTAAGGCATACATCGTCTCTATAACTTCAACGGTACTGAAGGCCCAGCAGGCGCCGCAAGATCCCTGACTTCGTACTGCAGTAACTACACCTTTGTCTCTCCAATCGAACCTCGAAGGTATACCGGCCGATCTTTTCACTCGATTGGTAGATTTTTGTGAATGATGCAATCGATGATAGGGCGCGTTCACGTGTTTCTCCCCTAACGTACAATTATACACATATCTATTTAAAATAGATATTTTATGATATTCGTCGATGTGAACGTAACGAAATCAATACCATAAGTGTCTCTTCTACTATGATACACAAACTCGTTTCAGTTTACATACGTTTCGACACTGTTTCTATAAAGAATCATTTTTTCCTGTCACGAAGTTCTGTTTCTTACCTCTGACTGGTAAATCAGGTACAAGAGCTTGCGCTAGAAATTCGTTTTCTGTCATGTCAGAATATTGAGTAACTCCGTAATAAGCGCTTTCCTGCGATGATCGGAGGTCGTTCATTTTTTCTATGTGCCGCAACGATCTCTGAAATAAGGACACAGCTGTCTTCACGAGTTTCATAGGATTATATAAAATCTTGATCTATAATTTGTTTTTTTTTTTCTTTCATATTGCTAAAACACCTTAACAAGTTTTCTTTTATTACGATGCATACTATGGTTTCTTCACGAGTACTGCGTAATTTTGAATTTTATCAAACGTTTGCTTGATAAATACCTTATTGAATTTTATAATCAATTATCATTTCAGTAAACGTATTTGATATTACATTATCAAGATCGTCTATTCTTATCTGAACGGATACCGTATGATTCTTAAATTTTTATAGAAATAAAAAGATATAATAATAGGAACGAAAAACGGTTACATTCGAGAGCGCGGAGAATTTTTGAAACTGTCACCTGTGACGATGAGAGCGAAATTTTTAGTAGTATATAGTACATCATGCGTACTGTTTACCAGTCTCTGGTGTTTTTACGAAAGAGAATAATCTATTTCACATCTTACCTGAAATCGTTTAAATTTTTCCTCATATTCCGTCGGATTATTTTTATAAGATTTATTGTAACGCGTGACATAGTTTTGAAAAAGCTTGACGTCTTCATTGTTAGTATCAGGCTCTACTCTAATCGGTATTGCCAAAAAACATAAACTCACTACCAACACTGTCAACGCTACTGTTCTCCACTCCATGTCGTGGGTGAAACATAATTCTAAAGCACAGTACGCTTCATAGCAAAGCAGTGAACGCATACACAACTGTACCTGCGTTGCATGACTCAATACTATGTGTGTATATAACGCGCTTATGAAAGTATATCACATTGTGCATGTGTATTTTGATAGCATCAGGGCCGTAAGAAGAAAATCTAATTAGTTTTACGATGCCGGTAGACGCATTCAGACGCTGCAAGAAAAGCGGAGTAAATAAGCCAATACGAATATACATAAAGTTTCCTATTGCTCATTCTCAACCTCTTTTCATTGCAAACTTCCCTTTTGTTTAGATTTACAATATTACTTCCTTTTTTATATTATAGAACAAAAATTAAACAATTAATCTGTATTTCTACATATCGGGAACACTTGTTTCATCGAACAAATAATGCATTGGGGTTTAAGGTTATCCAATGCACTTATCGTTTGACGATTGGTATATTTGCTTTTGAAATCATTATTTTTTAAAGAATAGATTTAAATATTTCGCTGTATGCATTTAAATATACGTTTCAAATATCTAGTACTTTTTCTAACCTCAATTTTGGTCTTATAAATCTAGTTATATGTTATTCTTAAAATATCTTAATTTTTAATTTTCTTCTCTTTAAAAAAATAGTATTAATTTTTCAGTCAAAATAGTATACATATTTTATAATATATTTTTATTGTAAATATCATTTTGACTCTAATATGACACTGTTAGTGTGGTCTGTCGTTTCCGCTTCCAGTCATGTCTTTTGGATTTTCGGTCCCTTTTGTAACGCCAACATAAAACATGGACAATCGTTCTATCTCAAAGAAAAGGAAGGTTTGTGAATTTTAGCAATTTATGACCAATAAATTGTAAAAATATGACGTCTGTTGTAATAATTAAAGTTAAAAAAGGAATATTTTGTTAAAAAATAAGTACAAGTGACACGTGAAAGTTGCAGATGACATGGATTCTTTCAGCTGTTTTCGTTCGATTTGCTTACTTGCAACCTTTATGCTGCAAATATTTTATTTTCATTTGTATTGAAATAATTTACATGTATTATCCACTTAAACTGAATATGCTAGTTAAAATTATATTACGCATCAAGTTAAATTACATTTATGTCAACAAACATACACTCTTAGGTTAGCTTATAAACTAACGTAGGAAGATATCAAATATAATAGTTTATTTAATGATTTTATTTCTAGTTTGTAGGAGACGGAGTCTTCAAAGCTGAATTGAACGAGTTCTTAACTCGTGAACTTTCGGAAGATGGATATTCTGGAGTGGAAGTACGCGTTACTCCCCATCGTACCGAAATCATTTTGCTAGCGACCCATACACAAAGCGTCCTTGGGGAAAAGGGCCGTAGAATCCGAGAATTGACTTCTGTTGTACAAAAACGATTTAATTTCAAAGAAACACAAAATATTGAACTATACGCTGAAAAAGTTGCAACGCGTGGTTTATGTGCTATTGCTCAAGCAGAATCGTTACGTTTCAAGTTAATTGGAGGTCTTGCTGTACGAAGGTTAGTCTCAAGATTTATATAAATTATTTAAACACTTTGTAAATTGTAATTTTTCTATATATTTGTAGAGCTTGTTATGGAGTTCTTCGTTTTATCATGGAATCTGGAGCAAAAGGTTGTGAAGTTGTTGTTAGTGGCAAATTACGTGGACAGAGAGCAAAATCCATGAAATTTGTTGATGGATTGATGATTCACTCTGGAGAACCCACCAATGAATATGTTAATACAGCAACTCGTCATGTGCTTCTTCGACAAGGTATGTTAAACAAAAAAATACAAAAATGTATGGCAAAAACAAATTCTTCTTTTATCTTGAATTATTATTTTACATTAGGTGTACTTGGTATCAAAGTGAAAATTATGCTCCCATATGATCCTCATGGCAAGACAGGTCCAAAGAAACCTCTTCCAGATTCTGTTTCAATTGTTGAACCTAAGGATGAAGTATTTCCTTCACAACCATCATCTGAAGTAAAAGCAACAAAGGATATACCACAACCAACACCACTTGCAGTGTAAATTTATACAGAAATGAAAATAAACTTTTAAAAGAAATAGTATTTTATTTTCTTATTTATTTCAATATTGATAGTACTCCATAAAATAACGGTAACATGATAAAAATTATTCTATAATTACAACATAATAAAAAATATTTTTCATATTTTTATTATATTATTATTGTACATAAATTATATTTAAACTTAATTCGTTATTTTGCATAATTTTGTAAATAAGATTCACTTATAATAAAATTACATTAAAATATTTTCAAAGATAGTTAAACTAAAGTAATTGTTCTTGCAAGAATAGCTGAACACAATTAACTAAATACTGTAAAATTCATAATTTTTCATGAAATTCATTGAGTAACCTACATCTATATCAAATAATAGAAAAATGATTTATATAACTATATTCTTAACACGCATTGAACCTTTCCCGGAAAAAGTGGAGTATAGAAGTATACGTATTAATTAAATGCATCTTAAAGAATACGAAAATATATCTGATAATGTGAGATACCATGTACATTAATATTTCGATATCTTTCAACGTGCATAATGTAATTTGTTTTATGAATAAACAATTCATCAACAGATGTGTAGGTATATTAGAAGTAACAAAAAGGACAAATATAAAATATTATAATAAATTCTAAGGAATATTAATTCCAATGAGCTTATTGTATCATGCACTCATTTAGATTCATTTCAAATTATTTAGTTAAAATTTTACTATAAATTGACATTATGTACTATAAAATATTGAAATTCCAATTATATGATTTATTCATATGCATATTTAGAGGTTTAGTAAATAAATTCTAAATCTAGAGTACTAGAGTTGTATGAAATAGTTCCAAAAGTGTTACTATGAGCACAGATATTAATTGAAATTTCAAAAAGTTATTTGATTGTTTTCATATATATTTTAAATAACAGATCATAAATGATTGTTGCTTTTGACATTTACACTCATTTTATCATTCAGGTATATGAAATCATTATTACATGGACCCTAGAACCCTAGGAAATTTGTTTTGATAATTTATTGTATTCGTTTAAATTAAAAAATTATTGACGAACTGGGACCATTTGTTGTGTAAGTAACAATAGACCTTCAATTATCCGTCGTATTATAATTGGCACTGTTGGTTTCTGTGAGACTGAACTTAATCCATTTCTAATTTCATAGAAAACGTTGCGAGTAAATGGATTTCTTTGTGAATCGAGACGTAATTTTAAAAATTGGAAGTAAATAAATGGTGTCAATAAACCAGCACGACCCCTGTAAAAAATTATTTATATTAATACTGCTTTTACAATGCCTGATTTAAGAAAATTAATATATATTAATACATACGTGAATACAAGAAGAACAGTGAATGGCAGAATAATTAGCTCAGATAATGCGCAAATACGCAAAATATTTCGTGATTGAAACTCCACTAAAGATATTAAAAGACGTGCTCCCCACCAACTGTTTTGTCCTAAACACTTAGTTAGAAAATGATAGAATAAGTATTAGTTAAGACTGACTGTGCAGATATTGTGCTATCTTAGCATTATATGATTCAGCATTAAAAGATGAAATGTTTTTACTTACATCAATCAGTACTAGAGAATAACTGGCAAAATGTATTAATGCAAATAAGAATATAGGAGTTAACACCACTAATTAATAATTTAAGGAAAATAATTCAATATCATATTCTTGAATGAGATTGCCTATATCAAACAGAATTTTACTTCTTTACATATTATGATGTTAAAAGGATACATGTAACAGGAGCTGCATACAGAAATATTAAAGAATAGAATAAATAATGACAGGAATCTTCAAGAAATAAATGCTCCAAAAATTGTCTATTGAGTTGAACACGTGGTACCCTTTGATGAAGACGTAGTGCACTAGTGGCTGCATTACTCATTAATACTTTATAATAAATGTTATAAGAATTGCTGTAAAATGTAAATGATAAAATTTCATTGTTAAATTCCTACAATAAAAATCATATAAAATAGCATACCCAAATATGGGAAAGATGTGACCAACAGTAAATATGATAGTAAAAAGTCTTGTGACCCATAATCCAACTTTAATCTTATTTTGAATAATGTGCTTTTTCAAAGCAACCCAACCTTCTTCTTTTTCCACTGAATTATCACTTGGTGAATTAGCAGTATCCGCCATCCTGTAGATTCAAAGAAAATTCAAAATTACATTTTTAGTTGTAAAAATATTCTCATGAGATTTGTATAAGGTATATTCTTTCATACATTTAACACACATAAACAATTATCAAAGACTTTCAAAAACGTCAGAAATGTAAATCGCGTCCTGTTTTCTAAAGTGAAAGCAGCCAATTTAGATGAGATATTAAATGTACAACATCTTAAATAAACTTTACATCTATTAACCTCGTTATGACTTTGAAAAAACTTAATAACATAATGATTCTTAACAGCATCATTCATTGAATATCATTAAGTTTAAGTCTTTAGAAAATATATAACCTACTTCTTATTTGAAATATTTAAAAACGGTTTTTGGAAATTGAATTGAAAAGATCAATTACCTTTTTATTTGTAATTATTTAAAAAA